CTTACTGAAAGCTTGCCTTGGAAGTGAGATCACATGTCAGCTGTCCTTCAAATATCGAATTGATTAACAGGTCACGATACTGTTGCAAAGCATACTCGGGTAATTTCTGTACCAGTACTCGGAGTAACCTATTAACAATTGATTATTCAACTTGTTCAACTATTGTAAGACGAACCTTTACGAACCTGATCACCAAAATTCGGACAGGAGGTCGGCCGTCCCCTATCCACGCACAACCATGAGCAACCAGACGAGACACATGCCCTCCATTCAGCGTCTGCGAATTCAAGTTTAATAAGCCAAATCCGCTAGTAAGTCAAGTTACATCTCAGCACTCACTCGAAGTAACTTTTGTGCTATTATATTCAGGGCCACCAAGGTTGATCTAGCAACATCCATCTCCACAGCACCATTGTCGGAATCAGCACTTGGCGTCGCTAGTTCGTAGATGCGCGCTAACATACCGCTCAGTAGGGTCGAAACTTGCGGTCTAAAATCATAACAGTGGTTGACATAGTTGAAGGCACTGTCTAGAATTGTCAGGAGGGCGGGGTCAGAAAATAACATCGTTGGTGAGCTTCCTCTTTCCGCTACATCAACGCAAAGAGCAAAGGCACACCAGTGGCGCCGTTTTCCGGTTTTATCCACCCGTCAGCTCCGCACAATGTCTTTAAAGGCAGTGGGCACGATCGCTGAGGGAGGGCGGTTGTCGCCAGTGTCATTGGTGAAGAGCTGAGTTGGATGTGGCCGAATGGTTCCTCTCATCCTTTCCACCAATGATGTTGGCGACAACCGCCCGCCCCCAGCAACCGTGTCAATTGCCTTTGACAAAGCTGTTAGAAGTAAGTTTGAAATATTGAAAGATTACTCGTTCTCTGCTCCAATTTCGAGAATTTTCTTGAACATATACTGCAAGCATTTACTGGCATTCGAGCGAGTATGAGTGTTATTCGCCTGAAATTGAGCATTTTTTTCAAGCTGAAAACTGGCACAAGAAAGAAGCTAAAAACACCTTATCCAAGCACAAAACTACTGCGTCAAGTGATTTCAGGCAGAAATCGGACAGTCTTGAAAAGTCGACAAATGAGTCCAGAAGTAGTTGAATGGACGAACACTAAAAATAATATTTATGATTTTACGATTTTAAGATTTAAATGTGAATGAATGAAATGAAAAAATATTGAAATGAAAAATTGAAATGAAATGAAATGAAAAAATATTGAAATGCTTTCCACAGAATCCATTAGAAAAAGACCTGTTGCGATGATAGGGAAGGGAAAATCCAAAGAACATTCGTAATGTAGGAAGAGCCATAGCTTAAGAGCACCGGTCATAAACTTGGGAATGGAAAGGACAGATCGCAAAACCGTGGATGCAATCCTGGTGGATCGTTCAGCTATTTGAGAATGTGCTCTTTTTCGACATTTTTTCAACGGAAACGGTAAGCAAGCGGATTCACCAAATGAAGCTCCCCACTCAAAACAACAGCATCAGTCACATAAATGGGAGTATTTGACTGGATAATCTTAGAACGTGGTAGGTGAGCCACACGTCACAAGGAAGGGCATATAGCCTAGTTCGCTGCTGGTGATGGCTCAGGGGACTGGGTTTGACGCGGAGCCGGCCCCTTCTTCATCAATTGTGGAAGCTGCCAAGCGACAACAGTTGGTAGAAAAGGGGCTGACGCCTTGCCAAACCTGGCCCTCTGAACGCCCCGAGCGAACAAGACTATGTTGACTGTTCAACAAATTGTATGATGTGATAACATACGAAAGCTGCTCGAGCCGGAGGAACCACACTGGCAATTGGTCGTAATACAATGCATTTTC